GACAGCTTAAAAACTCGAAAAACCCATTAGTCTCAAGGAATGGCCTCGAGAGTCTATCTCTTTTCATACTGCACTACGGTATTGGGGTTTTTGCATATAGTGGCAAAACATCGGCTCACATTGCAGGTGGGAAAGAAATTTAATTGATATAAAACTTTTTCAACCATGAAAAGTTCAGCAGAATAAAATTAAGTCCCACTCGTCTTGGCTTAATTATCAATTTGTCTTCAACATACTTACAACGAATGGGGGAATTCAGGCCGAGCAAGGGATAAATGCTCTAACGATACAAGGCTAAAGGGATTTGCCCTCAGGCTAAGGATAAATCAGCTTAAAGAGGGAAAATGTAGGAGAACTTGATAATTTCGAATAAGGAACTGAAAACACACTATTTTATGTCGTTTTGGTATTAAAAGTTCAATTCTACTAAACGAGGATAGTAAAGTAAAATGAAATCAAAGTTTCTCCTAAAATTCAGAGATTGGTTAATTTATTTTATTAAGCTAATGACCCCAATCCCCAATCGTGATCGGCGAACCATGCAAGCGATACATTCAGAATTTCAATCAAATTTATTGAACAGTGGGGCAGTTTGAGATCGGTCGCTTGCTTATACATAAATTAAAATTGAACGGCCAATCTGAAAATAACAAAAAAAGGGGGGGTTTCATTTAAAAAACCAGAGTTGGTAACTACCACACGTTTATGATGCACCCTGTATATTGGAAAGTAATTTTAGAATGTGGACCTTTTAAACGTGAAAAACTTTCGTTGGACGAATTTTCTTGTAAACTTCATATTTACTGAGATATCGCACTTTGACGCACTAATGAGCAACCCTGTATATAGTAGATCCCGAACTTCAACCAGAGAATATTTATTCTTAAGTTGTAATTAAGCTCTGCAGCAACACTTTGAATTTTTTTTGAGGCCACTTGAAGGCAAATATGTTCCCGCAATTTTCTTACTTATTTTATTCGCATAATAATATTTTGATACTACTTTGGGGGCATCTAAGTCCGAACTAAAGCTGAAGGTACCCATGTAATTTATTTATTGATTATTTATCTGTTGTTGTTATATGCGAATTTTTATTGTCTTTTAATATTTTTATACGCATTGTATAATTCACCATGGATTTTTTCCCGTTTAATATATTTTGAATGTGAATAATGAATGCATATTTAGGTCCACGGATTTTAAATAAAGTTCAACTCATGAAACGGTTATAATGGAATAAGAAAGATTATATTAGAATCAAATTGATTCCTGGGTTTCAGTCATTTATTGTCTCTATTTATCAATCAAAATACGTTTCGGTGTATTTTTCCACCATCATCAGGTTTAATTCGAATCATTCGAAAATGCATGCCAAGGCTTAAAGCAGCAACAACGCTACACATAAAAACTGGTGATGGTGGAAAAATACACCGAAACGTATTTTGATTGATAAATAGAGACAATAAATGACTGAAACCCAGGAATCAATTTGATTCTAATAAAATCTTTCTTGTTCCATTATAACCGTTTCATGAGGTGAACTTTATTTAAAATCGATTAAGTCCGTGGACCTAAAGATGCATTCATTATTCACATTCAAAATTTATTAAGACAATAAAAATTCGCATATAACAATAACAGATAAACAATCAATATTTTGATTAATAAATAGAGACAATAAATGACTGAAACCCAGGAATGAATTTGATTTGGAATTGAAACACAGTCAGGAAAGTATATACAATTATATAAATTGCCAGATATAAATGGAAAAAGACAAGGCCTAAAGCTCTCGATGAAACCCGCCAAGTCATATAATAAGCAGAAATGTCCTTGCGCTATGCAATTTTTCCTAATGGAGGATCCAAAAGTGGACAATGCCGTTATAAAAACACCATTTATATTGATGACATTACATTACACGCCACTAAAGTTTTATCGGCCTCACTCAATATCTGTCATAAATTTCGTGATTTGCTTTCAGTGCTGGTTTGTGATCCTTTCATGTGAGAATCACAGTGAAAATGACATAAATAAATTAGAATCGGTAATAATCGAGTTACTATTCAAAAAGAATTCAAACATTTCAACAAGCACTAAGAAGCATTTGTGAAACTAAAAGTTGTGGCAAGAAAACTCGGTTATCAAAGTAGTTGATCGGCCAATAGTGGAGTGAAAAACAAAATTTGCTGTATTTGGGGGTTTATTTCAAAGTCCCATGTTTTATTGATTTTCAATCATATGCAATCCAGTGACCCTGTTTATCAGCCTCCTCATTTACGTAAAGCAACTGATGCTGCATATCCAGTTGTTAAAGGCTAACTGATTTTACGTAATGCCTCAATAAAGCTGTTGTATTCATCAGCTAATATCTGCATTGGAAGTGAAAAATACTTGTCTGTTTCCGCAGATGATAATAATAATAATAAGAGATAATTGCGTTTCGAAAATGTCCTTCAAAGTGCTCACGCAACATGTTCAAATGAAAACGTATTTTCTCATAACAAAGACACAAGGAAAGTTGGGAAACGTTTGATATCGTAAGAAGCAAACGAAACTGTCTATAAATATTAACCCTAATGCTTTGTACAAGTGCTCACTGTCCACTTGAGTTTCTGCTGATCCCTTAAACCGCAAAATCCTTATCGATTCTTTGTCCCATGTGAGTTGGGCTGGCTCATTTTCATTACAGTCTTTCCTAAGTTAAACAATATAATTCCAGCTTCAAAAGATAAAATATCCTCTGGCATTGGTGAAATTGCGAAAAACACCCTGCGGTTGCACCTGTTGACTTTGAAAGCGCAATCAATTTCTCATAATCGCTTTAGGCTCCAAAGCGTTTGAAAATTATCTAGTTTTTGAAATATTGCTGATATTGTGGTGAGACCCAATAGCAGATACGCGTCAGTTGATTATAATTTTTATTTATTTTTCCGCTTTAATATATTTAATTAAAAATAAAACATTTGTTTCAGCCGCTTGCAAAAAGGAGCTGCAGAAGCAAATCATGGATAAGACAGGTTTTTGTTGCTATAAAATTTAGTATTGAAATAGTGGGACTTTTATTGCGAATTGCTGTCTATTATAATCGCTTTCATTGCCCTATAAATAAGCGGAGTCGGTTTTCTCATCACTCGGAAATATGTGGGAAAACGTCTGATGCATACTAAATGCTAGAGAAGCTGGTGTGTAAAAACAGACGCAAACAGGCAAAAAATAATCGTTTAGGAAAATGAGGAAATGCATGGAAATGTTCAATTAAATAAATAGGTATATCGATCAGCAAGGGTGTGGTTAAATAATAATATGAAACATGTGTAGTATAAACATGTTTGTTTCGCTGTTTTCTTTGCATTGTATAATTGAGCAAATTCAATAATGTGGCTTGAAAAATATTCAACTTAAAATAAATCGGGATCCAGAATCTGGAATCGCGCGTGCTTTGTTGACAACTTGGGGTTACTATGGGGACACACCGGCGTCCAATATTTAGCTCCTACTTACCAGGATAATATACGGAAGGGTCCATGCCAGCAGGATTCTGTTCGTATCAGGATTCTCAGAAGAATACGGAAAACACAACCGCGTTCCATATTGTATCTAATGACATTACCGTGATTGGGAAATTGCGGTTTATTGCTTTTAGTCACTTAAAACGAGAGCTGATCATTTTCCCGAGTTTTCTCAGCCTCACCCCGGCTATTCGATAAAAACCCGGCGACTAGCCGTCTCTCAGTTTCCACGGGTCCATCTTGCGGAAAATGTTGGAAACCTTCCATGGAAATTCCCTAGGGAATCTAAGCAGGACCTTGCAAGCCGCACTGCACCAAATGTCATTCTATCGTTTCCTTCCACATCGCGGATACGTTTTTCTTTTCCAATCATCCGATCATCATTTAAAATCATCTTTTTTCAAAACTCAGCGACGAAAATCTTTCGATATAGAGAGTGAACGTTGAGAATACTTTATACTCAAAGGCAGTTTTGGTTAAATGAAAATTAACGGAGCTGCACAGGTTTAAACGCAGATCTTGAAGATAAATTAAGCGACTGTCTTTGGACGTGAGGAAAAAAATCTATTTCACGACGGCCTTATCTCACGAAAAACTCAACAGCCTCAACTTACTTTAATGGAATTTGGAATGGAATAATGGAAAAATAAGTTTCGAAATGACGTTGAGAAAACCGCCCAAAATCATTTTTTCAAATAAAATCCCCCATTTTTAATAATTTTATCTTATTCACTATTGAAAATAAGGGTACGTTTGTGTAACGTTGTCTAGTTGAAAAGTGCTTAGTTTTCGAAATATTGTCAATTTAATGTCTCATATGGCTATTCTGCCGCATCTCATCTTCAATCCTGTCACTCTTAGTTTCCATGACGAAAGTGGCCATTTTTAAAACAGTCAAATGCCAAAGGTATGCAGACAGCTGTCAGTTACCATTTGAAAATAATTAATAATCATGCTCGGACACTTAAACTATACAAACAAAGGTTATTTAATTTTATTAAGAACCGTTTTTGTTTAACAGCACAGCGTGAAGGCTTCTGTTTTTGTGGATATCGAATGGCACATCACACAAATGTTCTTGATATAACTTTGTCACATTCTCCATAAATATTAGATAAGTTGAAACAACAATCTTTTTTTTGTTTTGTATAATTTAAGCGTCTGGGCATGATTATTAATTATTTTCAAAAGGTAACTGACAGCTGCCAGCATTACTTTGGCATTTGACTATATTAAAAATGGCCACTTTCGTCAAGAGTGACAGGATTTAAAATAAGATGCGGCAAAATAGCCACATGGAAACATTAAATTAGCAATTTTTCGAAAACTAAACGCTTTTGGAATAGACGATCTTACACAAACTTGCCCTTAGCTTTAAAACTGAAGAAGCGAAAGTTATTAAAAATTGGGTCTACATTTGAAAAAATTGATTTTGGGCAGTTTTCGTATTAATAGTTATCAAAATGTTGCTAAAATTCCATTAAAGTAAATTATACATAAAATATATTTAGAATTTGGAGTAGAATTGAAAAATTGCATATTATATAGGGTGTGCCATTTAAAATAAGCAAGTTGATACCTACTTCCGGTATAACCGGAAGTGTGGCCATGTTGAAAATATTGTAACGGAAATGGCCTGGGGTACTCACGTTTGAAATGGAGGGATCAAAATTCATGGTATTTCAGTAAATGGGAGCCCCATTTGCGCCCCATTTACTGTCTTCACAAACAATAACAATAACAAATCAAATTCATTCCTGGGTTTCAGTCATTTATTGTCTCTATTTATTAATCAAAATACGTTTCGGTGTATTTTTCCACCATCATCAGTTTTTATGTGTAGCGTTGTTGCTGCTTTAAGCCTTTGCATGCATTTTGTCATGCCAAGGCTTAAAGCTTCGTCCTCCGTCGTACGAATTGACAGATCTCCAACCAATAGAAACACTTTCGTATCATCGTACCATCGTATAAGCAGATGCATGGGATACAGGCTTTAAAGGAAAAGCTCGATAAAAGCGCGTTTTTAATCTGTGCAAAAAGGCGACGTTTACCTTAATTCGAACTAAAACTATCTGAAAAAGGCAGTATTCTTCTCGTGATGTGGGCGATTGTTTCAACAAGTTGTCAAAACAAGGTTTTATCCATTTATCCATGGATTTTCCAAATGAGTTTTCACTGACGCTTGATACACGGAAGTTCCATGACCGGAAACTGTCACGCTTTTTGCGTATCTTGTCAATATGGTGCACCAAAATTGCGACAAGCCCGGTGTTCCTACTTTTATGGTAACTTTTTAAATGTGGCTTCCAATTTAATTTAATTTAAATTGTTCTTCAGATGCTGTACAAGTCGAGCAGAATACAAAGTGTTCGTCATTTTCTTTCGCAAAATATAAACGTTTGTCTAGGTTTTGTGCAACACCTAAAACTTTGGCAAACTAAAAAATACACTTTGATAATAAATACTCTTACTAGGTACAAACTACGAAAGTTTAGTGAAATGCGTTAAAAATAGTTTATTTAAATACGGCGCTCTTAATAGTTTTTTTCAAGAGCACATGAGTCACATCGCGTTGCCATGCAACGAGCTAACCTATAATCTGCCGAAATTGCCAGAAGTAAACTATAAATATTTTATTTTGTTTATTTAAAAACTCGTTTTAACTTTTAAGTGCCACAATGGAGGATTATTTGCTTGATCTGCAGCATGAAAGGTAATGAAACAGTCATGATTTTCAAATTCTTCGATAGGTTTTTTAACGATATACGTAGTTTTTTGGATCCCCACAAATATGAGTTGCTGCAATCGTATTTTGAGACCAACTTAGCCGAGCTTTGGGAAAATTGCATTCTGGAATCCATTAAAAGTGTCTTCACATCGGTCTACAAAGGAATTGTCCTCAATATTATATTTGGACTCCTCACATCTTTTGGTGAGTCCTGGTGGCTAATTACACGAATTTCACAGTACAACTGTTGATACAAACCACATAGGAAGCAGCATTTATTGATTAAAACTATCCGTAAAATATAGTAATAATTACAGGTCTGCCAGGTATATTGTTCCACTGGTTATCCACATTGTTAGGAGTGTGTATGCTTTTTACAACCGTGCAATCATCCACTGGTTTGATAGTGGTATTTGTAACATTTTTGTCTTCTTTTTTTATAATTTGCTTTAACAAATATGTACAATCAAGATGGGCATTAAAGCAGCAACCTGAAGCTAAAAAAACTACTCGCAGTTGGTTGTCTTGTGCTTCCTGTTCCCAATATGGGTCAATAGTCCTGTTTGTCTTATGGTGAGTTTGGTTTGGGCAATGGAAAAAGATCAGTGTGACTATAATTGAGTATTGCAGTGAATACCTACTGTTAGAGAAAGAGACATGGCTGGAAATCAGAGGAATTATGATGGTGTTTTCCATGAAATTAACATCTCTAATTGCAGACTTGCCTGGCCCCAACTTGCCTGGGTTGTCCGCATATTTTGGGTACATGTTCTGCCCCGGAAATATATTATTTGGGCCATGGATTAGTTTCGAACACTATATGATGCAGGTCAATTTTCCAACAAGAAAGGTATGCGAATTTACGAAGGATCAATTCCATCTATTGCTCTTTTCAAATTAATTGTAAATAATATTTCTAGAATCTCCACTGGCTTTATGGAATAATAAGAGCGCTTATGTGTGCGGTAATTTTCGTAACAATATCAAATTGCTGGGCAAGTTACTTTATTAGCGAAGACTCAAATAGGTAGCAACAATGTTAACGATTGACAACTCTTCTGTATTTACAATTTATATTATTTTTCCAGTTTTCTGCTTGGTTACCAAGAAGCATTATCATTCAGAAGTAGCCACTATTTCGTCTGTTACTTATCAGAGGCTTTCATGATTGCCGGAGGCTACAAAGACTTCGCATATCATTTTGAGGAGGCGTATTGGAAATTGTCGATAACAAATGTCTGGGCAATCGAACTCCCCATGTCTCTTGCTGTAGTGGCTACTAACTGGAACAAGCCCATGCATGAATACCTGAAGAAATGTAAGTTAGTCGCTGTAGAGAAAGGAAAATAATTATTTTGAATAAATGTGGGTTTTTGCTTTAGATGTCTACAGATTGTGGCTGCCTTCAGGAAAGTTTCGCGCGGTGCTTTTAACATTTGTGACATCATCTCTTTTCCATGGGCTTGAACTGAAAGTTTCCACAGTTCTGGTTTGTTTAGGCGTATTTTCGTATCTTCAGATTTTAGTTAGAGATTACATATCACAAGCTTTCGATATATGCGTGAAAGTTTATCCTTGCAAATCTTGCCAACATGAAATAAAACGCGATAGTATTGTTTCTAAACTGACCTTGCTGACATTTTCCCTATTTACGGCACTTCACCTGGTATTTCTGGGTGTTCTTATGGATGAATCTGCTGCCGAAGTTGGTATTTTTCAGAAATGGAACGACTTGTATTTTTGTAGTTTATGGATTATGTTCGTTAACTTTTTGCTGGTTAAATAGGCTGAAATGAGCTGTAAATGACAGAGCACTTCGTAAAGTGGTTTGTTTTTAAACGTTCAATGTGATATTACTAATTATCGTCAGTATTATTTTTTTACTTTTTATTTTATCAGTAATTAGAATCTCCTATTTATAAGTTTACCATTTTGTTATTGAAACTTCATGTATAACATATTTTCTGAAAACTAATGTTTTTTTTATTTATTTGTAAATATTCAAATATTTACCAGATCTCGCTGGTCGATATTCAACGCCAGGCAGTATTAAATTCCAAATAAATTATTTAAAAATTAATAAGTTAAAATGATTTGAAGACTACAAATGCCATACGTGCCAATCTAAGCATGGCAAAATGGATACCAGAAAGAATTCAATATGGGCTTGGAATGCTGGATTTTTTTAATATAGAAAACGTGGATTTCTGCATTTCATCGCTATACATTTTCAGTCTAGTAGCGTGTGGTGAGCGTTGTGAGATCTTAAATTTGTTATAAAAATGGGTATTCTTGAAGAGCATATTTCTAGTGAGGAACAACAAATAGTCAAATTGTTGATTTCCATTATTTGCTTATATGGAAGCGATGGCTTGCCTATGGAAAATGTGGAAAGCGAATTCATAGCTTGCTGTGGCTTTCCTATACCATGGAAACAGTTTGGGGCTTATAGCCTTAGATCGTGGCTGATAACTCTGCCATACATTTATATTATCGAAAACCACTTACAAGAAGAAGTATTAATGGAATACAGCCCAAAATCTGTACACATTAAAGATTTGATTGTAAAGCAGAAACGTAATAGCAGTAACAAAACCAACTGCAATGGAAACAAGCGAAAGGCAGATAAAGGCAATGATGATTACCAGCAGCCTTATAAAATGAAGAAAAGGCTAGAATGTGAAAATCTGCCTGAAGGCTCGTTTATACACACTTGCGTTAAATATGAACCTCAAGGAGAGCCATCAAAAAATGAAAAATTTGAACAACTGGTAAATACGTAGATATACATTTATTTTATGTATTTTCTTCGCTAAATGCTTTAATATTTTCAGGAAACAATGCTTCCCCTCTTTTACAGGCATCAAGCTCTTGGCGATGACTTTTTTGTCGATATCGCAGATACAAAATTAGGATATTATGTTCCTGAAAAAGGTAAGTTGTAAACGGGGGGCAGTCACAGCACACTAATTTGATATTTCAGGGCCGAAGCGAACAGGACTATGTGCAGTTGGGCAGACGATTTCTCAGCTAACAGACAATGTGAGCAGAGCTCAACATTTAGCTCCACGAGTAGTCGTGATGATTGGATTTCAAGACCTAATTGATGTAAGTAGTTAGAAAAAAACTTGCATTTTTTATAAAAGTTTATATGGTTTTTAGGGAAGCAGCATAAGTAGCATGATAACTGATTTAAGACAACTAGTAATTGAACTAAAGAAAAAAAACACCCGTATTACTCTTATGACGCTGATCCCATCGCCAAAAATGCCTAATGTTCCACGATTTCAAACACGTCTAGAAATATTTAACAGAGCTGTTTTGGACTATGCTTCTGACTCTCTTTTGCCGTGCAATGTTATTGATATGAGTACCATATTCTTAAAGGAGACTGAGAAGTTTAAACGGGATTTGTAAGTAAACCATGCGTTGTTAAGACGCGATTCTAAATTGAATTTTTTTCTATAGTGACAGGTTTAAAAAAGTAGCTAAGAATGACCCGTACAAAGTATTTTCCGACTATGGCAGAAAAATTTTTTTGAATGCCCTGAAATCTTGCCTGAAGGAACAACTCGAATATGGATTCTAGGAAAAAAACTAATTCAAAAGTGAAAATCCGCGTTGTATGATGAAAGTATTTTTCCTGTCAGTGTATATTTTATTTCTTAATAATATCACGGCAAATGTTCAGAAAGAAATACTCTCACTCTATTTTATGTATTTAAAATGTTATTACAAAATAACATTATCCAAATATATTTATTGATAATAAATGACTATGGCCAAACTGCTTGATGCAGTACCATGTGATTTGATTATTTTTTTCATGTTTGTATAACATTCTTGTATCAATGTTGTAAATAGCTGGCACCTGTGATAGCGATATTAAACTTTTAAAATTTAAGTATTGAGTTTGTACCTACTTTTCTGAATGAACTAAAACAATTTTTCTGTCGTTTCATGTTGTTGTAGTATTATATAACCTGCAGTGCGAAATTTTAATAAAACACTTTAGTCATATAGGATTGTAAAATGCGGCCTATTTTATTTTCTTCCAGGACCCTACCATGAAAAACCATAGTGAAATGCCACTTTTATTAAGAAACATATTTTTCACCCTCAAACTATGGAACAAAAGTGTTTTGCATTCCAAACTAAACCTACATTATAAATTAATAAATAATTAACAAATCAAGTATATCTTTACAATACCTATATTCACAATGTTTCAATATTATTTTGCGTTTTATTTAAGAAATTGCAAATACCCAAATAGTGGATACTTTGGTATAAACAACAATAAAAGAAGATTGAGCATTAAGCTACATATGGGTACATCTAAAAAGTGAATTTTCATGGCTTTAAGTATAATATCCGGCAATTTAAGGAATGTATTTATCCTAACTACCTTGAGGATATAGGTCAATTTGGAAACATTACATATAAATCTTTCTTAGATCACTTGCTGAGGTGATCATGTTACACTGGGGACACAGTTTCTTCGCTCCGAGCGTTTGAAGCCAACATTGCTCGCAATGAACATGCCAGCAGCACACGGAAATCACTGGTGTTCTGTAACGCTCCATGCAAATTAAACACTTATAAACTTCATCTTTGGATACAAGACGAGCTTCAAGTTCTCTAATGCGATTCTTAAGCACTTCTAGCACTGGGTCGCCATTATAATAGTTTTCGTCAATATCTGCTCGTTTAGATAGCCTGTTAGGCTCACTGCCTATTACAGCTTTCCTTAGAGCGATATCCTCTTCTGCCTCTTCGCACGGTAATATAATATCGCGTTCAGAATATTGCGGAGATCCATATTTTTCAGCATCACATTCGTCTACATTTAGATCTTCATCTTCCTCAGCATTCTGCAAAGTTTGACCTAAAGTGGCCACTCCACCTGGCAAAAGACTTGTAGCCCGGACTCGGCTTTGGCCGGCCCACTCATACTCTTCGAATGACTCAATATCGATGTTTTCTTCTTCATGGTCACTGCTGTTTTGCTCTGAACGTCTCAGGCATACCTCCACATGCAAAGACAAATCCTCTGGAACCTCTTTGCTGCAAATGGGGCATATTTGCTCCTCAGCTTTCCTTTTGCGAGTTTTCGTACGTAACCTGCTCTGTCTGTTGCTTTTCACCTTTTGAAAAGTCTCCCAATTTTTATCGGGATCTTTCGATGTACTTGATAAGAGCCCGTTTGAACAAGACGGTGTCGTTTTTCCATTACATCTCATCCTGGGAGTGGGTATTTTGTTTAATTTGTCTAATTCCAAGCACAAATGGACATCCAGTTCAGTTTGACGAACAGTTACACTACATACAGGGCAACATAGTGGGTCTACTTGTTTCTTCTTGGTGCGGCAGCCTCTTCCTCCTTCCTCAAAGATGTTACTACTACCTGGAACTTCGCCGATCGCCTCAAACACTTCCATTTTTCCCACTGATAAAACTGTGGATATCTTGGGAAATTCATTTAAAACTAGAAGTGTTGGAAAATTTACATGATTGTCTTCTCGGCTAACTGATGTTCTTGGATTTTTCTTAGTATTTGTTTACATTTTTAGGTTACAGCACCAGATCAAAACAAACCAGTTCTGAATCAAGATCACAACGATTTTCACATTTAATCTCGACTCTGACCAACATAACCAATGTAACAAAACTCTAACGATGGGGAAATTCTATTTGACATTGGTTGGCGACAATGGAATGTTTGGCTGGCGCCATCTCCTGGCTGTCGTTTATCGCTTGACAATCTGAAACGGTTAAATTTTTCCAGACTCCAGGCTCCAGTTTTCTTGAAATGGTTGCTGGTTTTGTATTGTGCTGATATTCTTGATGGAAAGGTAATTGTAAAAACACGTTTGCATAGACCCATTTATTGAACACAATTGTCCCACATTGATGTAGACCTATTCCCCACAGTCGAATATTATCAGTGTTAAAATTGTTTCAACTCAAACGATAGCCGTTCTATCATTGCAAAGCCCTAATGAATATATTTCATCGACCTCTGGATGCCCGGCATTATCATAACATGGCATCTGAATCTTTGATTGCAGTAGTTTCATTTAGTTATCATCTCAATGATGATGATGATAGAGTGTGGATAATTTGGTGAATGTGCTGCAGAAAATCAAACTTTTGAGAACTTTTCTTTTGTATTTTATTCACCTTTGAAACTTTGTCAATATCGTCTCTCGACATCACATTGAAATCTATAACCGTTAAACTAGGCTCTGGAAGTACTACGTATGTTGTAGGGATAGGAGAGTCGCTTCTGAAGTTGTGCTTTTGTTCAATGTTGCTTTTGGCACTTTTCCGTAAACTGTACTGCTCAGATATCTTATCAAATGCCTTCCTAGGACTGGTGTATCTGTAAGAGTAAGTGCAGTCTTCCAAAGAAGTCTCACTGTCATAATTTATGTTCAAGTTTGTGAAATGAAGTTGCGCTTGAATCCGCCCAGTTAATGGAGTTCTGTTTCTGCCGTGCTTCTGATTCCTGCGGCGAATTTGAGCCGTCCTGCTTCTAGTTCTTTTGCTCGAAACTTCCGCGGTAATGTGGAATGCAATTGCGCCAGTATTCGTGTAATATTCAAAGAAAGTCCTCACAAGGTTTCTTCCACAGCGCATATCTACGCAACATAAGGAAACTATCAAACTTGCTCAATTAAATACAGTGCTTAGCGCACCACCTTTACACATAGACTTTGTCCATCAGTGTCCTATATGTAAAGAAAAAAGCATTGTAAAGGAAGGATACAGCTTTCTTCAGTGTATGGGATAATAGTGTCACTTCCTTTTAGTTTGTACCCATATATTGATATCTCAAAACTGTAGCAATTGACTTTGTCGCTCAGCAGTGAGCATAGATATCGCCTGGCAGTCCCAGCCTTGGTGGCATCTGAGTTAAACATCGTATTTCCAGCTGCGTAATCATCAGCTGTAGTTGCTAGAAGCTTCGGAAACAAAATATGTCTCTCGTATCTAAAACAGAAAAAGTTCAGTTGTTGGGGTTTCAGAATGAAAATTTCAATTCAATGGTTCAACCTGTAAACATCGCCGTATGTATTCCCATAAACAAAGCATCCGGTTAAGCTGGAATGGGCATGGATGTCAATAACAAAATCCAATTGGAAATCCTAAATAAATCTTCAGCTATAAATACACAGTAAAAACTTTCAACTTTCCAAATTCGTACCTTACTTTTATCTAATATTGTCAAAATATCTATCACAGCTTTACTTGTGGGATGCAACCACTGATTGGCGACATGCCAGGATCTATTTAAATCTGTGCCCATTACAGTGCTTCTGTAGTTTCCTAAAAAAACCCCATCTGGATTGAGCATGGGTATTACTTTGAAAGTTACATTGTCTCGTAGAATCGATGCAATAGAATTCGAACTTATTAACAATTCTAGCAATCCCTGGCATACGAAACTAGCTGGCGTTTCCCCCGGGTGGATCCGAGCCATTATAAAAACTATTCGTCTCTTTGCTTTGGATTTTGGAGCTGGATCTAGAGATCCTATAGTAATCAAGTCCACCCTTCGACTTTGCTTAAATAATCGTTGACTGAATTAGATGAGATTGCTACAGATTTTCAAGGGATCGAAAAATCGCTTACCACACTATTAGCCAGCAGTTCTCTACTGAAACTTTCTTTAAGGTGCGAAGCCTTTTTGTCTAATACTGGCAAAAAAGCCTGTAGCTTCGAGTAACTATAAGGGGGAGCAAGTGCAAACTGAAAAATGTCCTCTTCCTTATCAAATCCGAAGGAAAAACTGAAGATATAGTGACCCTGATGAACAGTTGATTTGTGGTAATATACGTGTTTCTTTGGAATCCTCTGCCTGAAATATTCAGAAAAACATATCAAATGATCTTATTGATATATGTAAGATTATCACCATTTGGGCCTGCTAGATGACTTCACTATAGGCGTCATCTTTTCCATGAACAGATTCCTCTCTTTGCTAATATTAACTATGTTAAAAATAACTCTTTGATCAAGTTTCACGTTGTCTACAGTGAAATTGAACCAAAATCGCAGCCTGGGGCTGCAAGTATCGGGCCTAATAAAGAGATCATATTCGAATTCATTGATCAAATCAACTCTTCCCAAATTGCCACATTCAAAAGATGCATCGAAACAAAGATGGCCTCGTTTTGCTTTTCCACTGTGTCCTGGAGGGCGCATTATTTGCCTGTTTACATTTCCCAGGCCTCCTTCACCATCGCTATCATCGGAGTCTGAAAATCAATTAAATTTTCAATTAAACTGAAACTGCAAAATAAATAGCCGCAACCAACTGCAGACGAAATATACGTTCTTGCCAAAATAGTACCTTCTTTTCCATAATACACGCTAGTATGCTGAAGAGGATCATATCCGGTATTTATCATAATTAGTCTGACAATTTTTTTTCGTAAATCACTGAAACTCAAGCTGTTTGCTTGCTTGGCATTTTCAAATACGCGATTGAATTGGAAATGCTGGTAGTTTTTAACGGACTAAATGTTCTAGACTCTTCGGATGCCGAGAACGGCAAATCAGAAATAGAAATCTGATAGATGGGTTTTATAAAGCGTCTAAAGGTTTGCGTGAAAGTACAGTGTAATTACCGTCATGCAGGGAAACCTCTATTTGAATTTGCGTTAGTTTTTTAGACCTTGCACGAGCACTTGTACGAAGGTCATTTCTTTGCCGCCACATATATATAGGTATAACCTGAGGAAGGTCCTATTCGATTTTTGTTGATTCGGGTTGAAAGCAAAGTGGAAGTGACAAGTGGAACATCTTCATAACATTCTAATGGTACAGGATTCCAGGCGTTTTGAGGGCTTTGATTTTTTTGTAAATAATTGAAACGTTTTTTTGAGCTCAATGTAAGAGAACTATCTTAATTAGATCTCACTCGAAGACCTTTTGCGTGAAAGTCTAAAGTATATCGTAACTTGTGGTGCATTTCAATTTGCAGCTAATAGCTTGAGAACATGATTCTCCTGACCCATATCGGTTTGATGAAAATGTATTTTAAACTCCACTCTAGAGAGAGCGTCAAGAAGCCTTCCTTATTGATTTTTAAATAACACATCCCTTCTAATTTTGGTTAATGTGAGCAGGGCTGGTTCTTAGCAAAACCTACTAGGCAGGAATTTGATTTTCTCTAAATTTAATTCGGGTCCAAAGGAATGGTAGATAAAAAGTGTTTAATCTTTTAACAGGTATTACCTTCTCCAAAATCCCCCATCGTCTGAACTAGTATGCACTAATTTCGCGAAAATTTGTACGTGAGTTTTGTGTGATATTCGACTGTGGACTGGCTCATCAATGCGGCATTTCTTGTCATGTTGACAATTTTTAGGCCAAGTTTGGTCGATATTCACCCTTGCATGTTTTATTAAATATTGTACAATGTATTTTTGACGGAATTATGGAGAAATTTGTCACGGAGTCTTTTCATTGGGGCAAATAATAGGCATGGTCATTAAATACGACAGGAGATTGATTCTAGATTGAGGTTTAAGGAGTACGCATTCATTATTAAAACACCATTCCAGTGAAAGTTTTAATCTATAAACCCGGGGATTCAACTTCCGCTTAAGTGCTAGTATTTTTCGAGCGTTGGTTCTTATTCTGCTTAACATCCACCTAACATGTCGGTATGTACTAAATATTGGTGTATTTAATTATTCGGGAATCGTGTTGTGAGCACATAGTTCTATGACCCTGCGAGATTTGAGTTATACTTAAGGGTAGCAGGAATGGGAATGCAAACTAGGTGAATGGAAAGAAAAAAGTGCTGGCGCATCGGGCGTGCAGAAAGCTGGCTTGTGCACTGGGAATCCGGGCTGAGAGCAGAAATGGGGGCGATTTGCAGGAATAAAATCACCCTTAAAACCGCTGCGCGCTCATCGTATCGACCAGCAGGGTAGCCGACACCCTTTCTGGAAGCGCCATGCAACACCATTTAGTTATTGCACTCTCTGAATAACACTTGTGTTACGTTTGGTAGTGTACGTTATGTAATAATATCATTCTTGCATAATTAATTGTTAATAATAATTATAACTATTGTGTACGTTTGCAATAGTATTTGATAATTACCAAGAATAAGTTCGATTTTGTCGGTTTCAATTGTTCGGTTCTTTCGATTTGATTCTCATATCTCTAGGTTGGCTTCGATAATCCTGCAAAGTTTGTCCTATATTTGCAAAAGTATTTCAGTGCAATTTTTCTCGAATCTTTGACTCGTTTTTTGTATTTTTCATAAGTACTCTAACTCGCCTCATAAAATATATCTATTATATTCATACAATCACACCTACTATTCCTACTCTCCATTTTGTGATTACGACCGTTTTTGATAACATTTACAAGTTTTTAAAAGAATTCTCATCAATAAGGTAAGTTCAAATTATGTTTTAATATTTCTTGTGTAAAACGTAGTTTCAACCACCTGTATACACACCCAATGCAAGTAGTAGTTCTCATTCGGTTTTCACAAAGTTTTGCCTACTATTTGACTACAACGTCTTCGTATTAAGATTAAAATTTGTCATTTTAAAATAAAGATATTTAGCACGGCATCGGGCATAATGTGCGGGTGGCGGCGCACGGGGCACTCCGCCAGAGGGGGTGTGTATCGGATCAATACAAGGGTTGCCTGGCCCAAGATAGCTGATTTACAATTACAATATTCACATATTCAATGAAAATTTTAAAATCTCGCCCTTTATCGTTGCCCCGAACTTTTCAAGAATTTGCTAGTAAGACTTGAAAAGTTTGCTTTGTTGCCTTGTTCTATGTCGTAAACTCCCTGTTTAATTATTGACTTTATTCGAAACGATTTTTTAATATACATATTTTCTTTTCCACCTACACAGGATTGTTTGTCACGAAAATTGCTCAAGTGAACTTTGACTTTCCAAATAAGCTAGCATCGCTTCCAGGTCACTTATCAAGTTTATTTAGGCAACTAATGAACTTTTCATTTCGTAGTTATTTGAGTGTGTGAAGCCTAGAATATTGTACGTGTATACAGAGTTAATTAATGGGATTTAAAGGAGTGTCTTGCTGCGCATCGAGCATAAAGCATGAAAGCCAAGGTATACAGGATAATTTATTTATAGGTCCTGGATCCGATAAACGTGTTACAGTAAATGTAAATTCGCTAACGAAAAATCAGGAACCCCTAATGATAATATTAATTACTCCATCGAGAGATTAAACCATGTCACTTTTCCGCCATAGTCAATGCGAAATATTCCGCGTGCCACGATTATCAAGAAGAAAAAAAATTATTTCAGACGTAACATTTATGAGCAATTTCATCCTTTAAAATAGATTTTATTTAACGTTTCTCGAAGTAACAGATAAGCATTAATATTAAAAATAGATCGCAATCAAAATATTCGTTGAGTAAGAGGAAATTTATTTTGGCTTGCAAGTTTCTTTCAGGCTTCGATTCGGAACAATAATATCTATTGGATTTGCAAGTTTTCGCCACTAGCTATGTGGAAGTAATTGTTTTTTTCTTTAGATAAATATATCTGGAAACAATATCTAATTCTGGTTGAAGTTCACAATTTCAATTCGCTTGTCGTAAAAAACGCACTCAGTTCGCTCTGTACACAGAACAGCAAGTTCCACTCAATGCATTTTAAAAAGGGAGACTGCCCTTATACAATGGGGGATGCAAAGATTTTAATTTAGGGGTTGACGGACCTCGTATGGAAGTTCAAACTTCGTAAATAATACTGTGACACATGCGTTAGGACAACTGGACCGTGGCAAATCCAAAGGGTTTAAAAACTCATTTGAAAATTGATTCTATCGTGTACCTAAAAGAGAGAAATTGCTTCGGTTATATCTGATTTTTTCACCAATCAGTAGTCATGTAAATTTACATGTCATTTAAATTTTGGGTTGCTGTCTAGCAGATAATACAATAGATTTGAATATCAAGGGGTAGCAGGCGTAGCGTGTGCCATATACAGGGGGGCAGTGACTGGACTGACCATATGTTACACGTGCAGATACAATGCATGTTATTAATAAGACTAACTAGTTATAGCCCTTACATTTCCAACATTTCGTTTGTTGTTTATTTTGTGTAAAAGTCTAAGGGAACCTTTTTGGCAACTTGATAGTTTTTCCCTATCGAAGTCTCCTGTCGAAGGACAGTGCCCAGGTAAATGAACCTTTTCATATAAACCGCAATGGAAATCAGTAATAGAAATATTTACAATCAAACATTATTGCTAATGCAAAACGATCTAGAATCAAGCTTGAAAAGAAACAAGGCCATATATCTTTCCTCCTTTGTATAAGGGGATAAGTTGCGTTAAGACCAGCTGATATAAAGTACAAAAGAAAGTTTAGGGGTGGTTTTCCCCCTGTCTGGTTTTTGCCCATTTCGTCTAGAGTAGAACCATAGGGCATTCACCCTGCTACGTCACACTAGATAAAGCCTAGGGTCTACTAGACACCTTGTCTAATCAAAATCTACGACGGATACGGGAGATTTTCAAAACCACTTTTTAGGTTGATATTAGGTTACACCGCAGTTGTATTGTTTTAATAGTAGGTACCTCAATTCGAATAGAAGTTGATTTCAAGGCTTAGATTAATTGTTTCCTTTGCATTGGGCTTTTGATTAATATTAATAAAATTTTGGTTAGTATGTTTTTTCTATGTTAATCTAAACAGCATTTCCTGTTATTGTGCAACTGGCATCATTCTCATTCTAGAAAATGATTAGTCTCAATATTAATGCGCATAGTTGAGAGTTACCATTTTGCGTGAGTCCAATAAGCCGACGAAATAATATGTGGTCAATTACTAAAATAAAAAAATATTTTGCGATCTATATCATAATCAGCTCCCTCTCTTCAGAGGCTTATTCAAAGGGTTAATATAATGGAATAGTTTACACAAGTTTAAATACATATTTGAAATTTATAAACTTTCGTTCAAGGAACTTCAACTACCACTTCTAATAAACATCTTGTGCCAACCGGTCAAACCAGCCCCCAATCTCTCTATAACTTAGCGGTGTGGTCAGATAAAAAATATTAACAAAATTTCGGTTAGTATATTTTTTCTATGTTAATCTAAACAGCATTTCCTGTTATTGTGTGCAACTGGCATCATTCTCATTCTGGAAAATGATTAATCTCAATATTAATGCGCACAGTTGAGAGTTACCATTTTGCGTGAGTCCAATAAGTCGACGAAATAATATGTGGTCAATTACTAAAATAAAAAAATATTTTGCGATCTGTATCATAATCAGCTCCCTCTCTTCAGAGGCTTATTCAAAGGGTTAATATAATGGAATAGTTTACATAAGTTTAAATACATATTTGAAATTTATAAACTTTTGTTCAAGTAACTTCAACTACCACTTCTAATAAACATCTTGTGCCAACCGGTCAAACCAGCCCCCAATCTCTCTATAACTTAGCGGTTTAGTCAGATAAAAAATATTAATAAAATTTCGGTTAGTATATTTTTTTCTGTGTTAATCTAAACAGCATTTCCTGTTATTGTGTGCAACTGGCATCATTCTCATTCTAAAAAATGATTAAACTTAATATTAATGCGCACAGTTGAGTTACCATTTTGCGTGAGTCCAATAAGTCGACGAAATAATATGTGGTCAATTACTAAAATAAAAAATATTTTGTGATCTATATCATAATCAGCTCCCTCTCTTCAGAGGCTTATTCAAAGGGTTAATATAATGGAATCGTTTACATAAGTTTAAATACATATTTGAAATTTATAAACTTTCGTTCAAGTAACTTCAACTACCACTTCTAATAAACATCTTGTGCCAACCGGTCAAACCAGCCCCCAATCTCTCTATAACTTAGCGGTTTGGTCAGATAAAAAATATTAACAAAATTTCGGTTAGTATATTTTTTCTATGTTAATCCAAACAGCATTTCCTGTTATTGTGTGCAACTGGCATCATTCTCATTCTAGAAAATGATTAAACTCAATATTAATGCGCACAGTTGAGAGTTACCATTTTGCGTGAGTCCAATAAGCCGACGAAATAATATGTGGTCAATTACTAAAATAAAAAATATTTTGCGATCTATATCATAATCAGCTCCCTCTCTTCAGAGGCTTATTCAAAGAGTTAATATAATTGAATAGTTAACATAAGTTTAAATATTTGAAATTTACCACGCACTACCACTTCTTATATAAGATCTTGAGTCAACCGGTCAAACCAGCCCTCAATGCTGCTATCACTTAGCGGTTTGGTCAGATAAAAAATATTTTATGGGTGTAATTGGATAAAAAACCGATCAATCTGAAAGTCAGTAGCAACCCTTATAAAATACAAATGGTCAGAATGTTAATTTCAGCGGAAACGAATACGGGGTGGTAGTGAACTCTGCGCAAAGGCAGGGAATATACGGAGGTAAATGAAGTGAACCCGCGTTTTGAATGCGCGTCTCGCCAGCGGCTGAGCTGAACAGTCTGAACAGTGCGAGTTTGACCGGTAGGCGAAGAGGCGGTTGTCGTTTTAGTTCATTTTTCTTTTTGTTTTCGTTACTTTCCTTTTAGTTTCGCTTTTAGTGCCCCAATTCAGTTCTGGCTTCAAATTGAGCATTTTTACTCTGCCAAAGTGTGTAGTTTATTTCCTTATTTTTAGCTGTTTCTCTAGGTAAGTCCTGAAGATCGCATACAGCAAATAATCAATATATGTTTATTAACAATTAACTTGAGGTTGGTGCAATGTGCGTACCTAGTGCGTTTGGTATTAGGTACACTTATTCCCATCCAGGTTTACCCTAAATTTTTCAAACTTCCGACACTCACTTTTATATTTTTAGAAACCAATAAAATCTGGTACATTTTATGTGGAGCTTGTTTTTCGATAGGAATATTTCTATAAACGTAAAATCGTATGTTTAGTTTAGCTGACGGGTATAAACAGCATTTTCTCTGCTCCAGCCATCCACAAAATGCGAGACTATTTATTACTAACCCACTTGCAAGCGACTCAAAAAAGACTAAAATGTATCGGTTTCATGGTTTATTGATGGGTCTAATTTTATTCATTCAACACTAACATTTATGACGCTGAAATAATGTGTAGAATAAATACAGCGATTTTGTTTAAATAAAATTGAATACAATTTTGCGGATTTGTGTATGCTTCTTCGAACTAAAATAGATCCTGCTATAAATAAGTCTTAATAATTCCACGCAAGTGCGCATACTAGGAAGTTTTCAGTTTACTTACAGCTGCATACTTTTTAAACTTCAAAAATTACATTGCTTGCACTTAATGGTCGACTACCCAATTTCAATTGCAGGCTAAAATAAAAAATTATCAGTTATCTTTTCAGCAAAATTTTCTATTGCTTAAGTCTAGACCCCCACTATCCAGAAATAGAACCAAGCACTTTTTACGTACCGACAAAAAGAGACCGGTCTTTATTGGCACGAATAATTTGCTTGCAAGAGTTCGCTGAATTCTTTTTAAGGCATTTCAAACCCGACCTAACGCACCCAAGCATTTAAAAATCACTGAGTTTAATATTCTGAGTTCAAACCTTTAATGGCTTTCCTGATTTTCATTTAAACCGAAAATCATCCAAATGATTGAAGAAAGCAATTTCTTATCTGCAAACATTTTAATATAATTTGCGCATTATGTAGGTGTGTGTATCCAGGTAGGAAAACGACACATTGCCCTGAGCACATAGGTTTAAATAGAAAAATTGAAAACTCTGATATTGCTGAGTATTTGGAACACATTGGAACTTAGCAACATGATAGAGGTTATAAGGTTGGATAAAACATAGATATGGTTTTTTGCAGATATTAGACGGGACACCCTTAAGCCAGCTAGACGAGAAGTCGTCCACAAGACTGGAACCGACTGACAACCACTTGAAAACCCCCAAGACATTGCGCAATAGCAGCCAATTTCTTGTTGAACCCAGTCCCAGACAAGCCAGCACCATTGAAGACTTAATAAAAAAGTTCTCCATTACTACTTTTAATTTGAGTGACGATAAACCAACGACGACCAACAAAAGTATGATGTCGAACGGGTTAGATTCCCAGCAAAACGGCGGCAGCAATAATGTGGGTGGGGGTCAAGAGGAGTCCAAAACCAACCTCATCGTCAACTACCTTCCCCAAACAATGACACAGGAGGAGATCCGATCGCTCTTCTCCAGCATTGGAGAAGTCGAGAGCTGCAAATTAATTAGGGACAAAGTTACAGGTATGTCGGTGTTTTTTTTCACGAACGAATCTTTATTCAAATTTTTCAAAATTGTTTTTGAGAGTAAATACGCAGTTTTGATATGTATAGTTGATCTTTTCATTTAGTACAGTTTATGGAGTAAATATGTGAGATTGGCCACTTTCAAACCCACTCAGGTGCAGATTTATGAGTGAAATGAATTCATACAACAAATGTTACCAGCATGTTCATTTTGCAGCCAAAATATCTATCCTCGTTCTATTAAATTTAAGCAAAAGCGATAATATAAATATGTCATTGTTATAAATATTCTAATGCTGCGTGAAATCAACATGTATTTTTGACTTAAATAAAAAAATGTGCTCGAATATATTTTTGGAATTTCGCTGTTAAAACATGTCCTGTAAACATGCCAACTAGCAACTTCCTGTTGGGTTTGCAACTGCACCAATTTGAATATTTCTGTAACACTTTACTAATTGCAATTAAACATCATATGACTTAATATTAATTATTTCCGCGTAAAAAACCGCACTATTTTTATCCAATATACGTACAAAATGTATTTGCTCGTGGATTCTTTAAAACAAGCAATATAACTCTTAGTTAGTTTTCATATTCGCTGACCTTTCATTCGAGTTTGAATAACAATTTCAAGAAATTTCAAAATTATTTCTTATTTCCTTCCAGACAAAATTTCGCCCCTTAAACTAGGATCTGGAGATGAAGGTACAATTCTTAAATAAATTTAAAAATGGGAATCCACTAATCCTCGCGATGTTCCTTTCTTGTATTCCAAAATGTTGGGGTTTCTTACTACTTATCACTAGGGGTGTAATTGTAGGCTACTTTCTAAGGAAAAGATATCAACTAACCCACGATTAACCGTTGTTTGTAAATATTTTTGTTATAACTGACGCTTGATTTGTGCTTTGTTCCAAGGATTTTGGATAATTGATAAATATGACACCCCCACCATCTGTGGTCCTCAATGCCATAAAGCGTATATTCGTTCTGTTAGCAAGTGATAAGTCAAAAATTTGGTATAGAAATTACATTCGCTCTACATGGTTAATAGTGAGTGTTTTTTATTTCAACTGTATAATTCTACATATAAAAGTTAACTTTTTATGCGTTGCGGACTGACATGCTTTTATACTCATGCGTGATTTAAAAGAAATGTAAATAAGCTTGTGCACATGTGTGTAGCACAGGAACGATACAAATCGTGTACTATTTAGCTATTTTATAAGGTACTACTCAATTATTAAAACGACCATTGATTCTTCCCAATGGCGCTTAATGAGCTTGAACAATGTCCTTTACCAGTTGCGTACCTCGAAATATTTATACATGTCTGGCCAGTTTTCATATTACACTAACATTTTAGTGATTTAAGAACTGTAAAAAAATATGCCCGATTTGAAATCAGGAGGGTGCTGGTACGCCACTGTTACCAGCAACATCCAGTTTTTTCCTATGCACACTTCTGATTCTGATATAAACATCGCATTTTATCGCATAGCAGCTGGGTTATTACGATAGATAGGTAATTTATTTAAATAATCTACCTATGGTTTACCCTTATAGCGTACTGGCTTTAATCGACTTTTCGGAACTTTATTCGATTGCCATTCGATAAGAGTGCTCCTAAATTGCTTAAATACAAAATAGGTTCAATGGCAACAGTCAAGACTTGTGACAATAATGTTATTTCCATACATCACTGGTTTCAGTATCATCACTTCCGCTAATTTGATAATTTAGTGACGTTTCGGTTTGGTACTCACCCGACCTACACGGTTAAATATATCGTTTATAAACTATTGTTTTCCCAAATTTTTACATACATTATTTACTAGCGATTTTTTTAATAATGTTTAATTACCGTGTGGCCTACTGGCCATAAACTGAGTTTTCATATTTGCATCACCCTCATTTAAATATATGCGTCCGACTGACCCCAAATGAACTATAGGAAAATCTATGCGAAAAGTGTAGTTAGCTTCACGTTACCCATAGGCAAAGGCCTTCCTTTTGTATTTCCCCTTTGAATAAAAAAGTGAGTCAGCTTTTAAGCAGCACGTGCTCACGACCATCCGAAATATGGGGGAGAATATCATGTGGTTCTACTTCCAACAGTACCGCACTAATTTGTCCGACTAGTTTCTATCTTAATAGAATCCTGTTAGCGAGCCGTTTTTATAGTGACTTTTTCACCTCAAATTTTCTCTAACAAGTCTTCTTCCATAATCAGATCCATATTTTTAATTGTACAGTTCGAGAATGGTACAATTTTTTACAAATACGGTTCTGTTGAATGCACTGTGGAACTGAATTAGCATTTCGACAGTCTAAATGGTGATTACTAATGCCTTATAAAAAAGTGTAAAGTGAAAATGCATTTTAAATCTGTCCCGAATCCATCGCTATCAGCCGACCATATTGTCTATAAGCGCAATATTGAACATATCTGTTCTCCGATGCGAGATTGTTTATTTTATAGAATAAATAATTTGTCAGATAAAGCAAGTGTATGGAGGTGTTTACAATAATTAAATCTGGCGGTAATCCTCTGCTTGAAGTATAAAGGAACCGAATCTTTGCAATCTGACATCTATGATTTGCTATATTTGTTTCAGTTTCATTTTTTGTAGTTACCGCTTATGTAGATTATATCAGTTTTAATTAATTACACTTACTTAACCGTTAACGTTTTTAACGCTAACTTGCTAATTGTTGCTAACTAATACTAACCCATAATTTTTATATTAATTTTTGAACTATTGCTACTAACACTTTAAGCATGTATTTATAAGTCCACCAATTGCAAGAGAGTAAGAAGAGACTGATTTTATAATTTGCATATAGATCTTATAAATACAGGCTTGAATTCCAACTTAACATTACATTAATTACTTTGCATTTACAATTTTATTTGACTTATTTTTTTGGGTTTGGTTTGTGTTATTAACACGTATTTTTTTCGAAATTGGCTTTCCAACAGTTCCTGGGGTTATCACTAGTCCGTTGCTTACAGGGCAATCACTGGGCTACGGATTCGTGAACTATCATCGACCAGAAGACGCTGAAAAAGCTATCAATACTCTTAATGGGCTAAGATTACAAAATAAAACTATCAAGGTAAGTTTCGTTTTACCTTTGGAAATCCGATTGGGACAATAACATTAAATAATATTTGACAATCTCATCGAAAGTTTGCCGAATGAAAACTTCCCCGATCGGAATTCTGAAGGTTCATTTGGTATGTGTCCTATTCTGTTCGATTCTGATTTGTATGGAATGCCTTGACTATACCCATAGGAACAGGAAATGGATTTGTTTTTCAGTTTGGTGTGTTTTTCTGTTAAGTTTTTCATGTTTTATTTGGTCAGAGCAATTGCAAAGAAAATTTCTCCCTAATCCACCACCTCAGAATTCGGCGCAAAATTACGTTTACTAGCAATAAAGAATTCGCCAGATCGCGGGTTTTAAAATTTTTCACATTGTCGGCTCGGCCTTTGCGTTGGCATTGACTTTAGAGTCATGCTAATAATGGCATGTAGCATGCCGTGCACCTCGAATAATTATAAAAGTGTGTCTAGTTGTCGAACTTTGTCAGCGAAAGTGGACCAGAGGGTAATTCTGGACGAGTTTTCAATTACGTTATTCAAAAATTTATTGCGATTTGTTTCTTACTAACTTGGTTACTGGGGAGTAGCTGGTATGAATAAGGAATTTCCAAAACATTTATGGATTCGTTGAATTCATCGATCATTATCATCCATGCGACGAATCAACTTTAAGAAAGTGATTCCGCATATATTTCTCCAATATACGCTAATTCAACTCTGGTTATTTGCAGAATACAATTTGCAAATTTAAATATTTGAGCCAATATGCTCGACTCGTTGACGTTCAAATCTAAAAGCCAGACATATGCGTCTTCCTACACTTCAGACAAATCTTGGCTGTAGATGTGTGGAATGCTCAGCACTAGTTTTTGACTATGTATAGATATGTGGCCTCAGAAAGTGATTTGAGAATTTGAACACAAATCAACGCTTTGATGTATGCCGCTATAAATGTTGTAAACTCAGTTGGAGCACTTTGATACAAAGTTGTTGATGCGTGATTTCTTGGCTTGCAGGTATCATATGCAAGACCGAGCTCAGAAGCAATCAAAGGGGCCAATTTGTACGTGTCGGGACTACCTAAAAATATGACCCAGCAAGATTTAGAAGCATTGTTTAGCCCATTCGGTAGGATCATCACCTCGCGTATACTATGTGACAACATAACCGGTAAGTTGATATTGTGTCTTTGTGTCTATGTTTTCAGTCAGAATGTCGCTTGAGCCCACAATATTTGAACGCTAATAGGGAGGTAGTCAAATAAATTAAATAACGAACAATTTCCATTCTCAACTTCACCTTTGACCTATTATTCGACAGTAACTTCAGAATAAACAATAAGCAAAGCTAAAACTGTATTTGAAACTATGTTTGGGCGCTTAAATTCACTATATTCCAATCATTGGGGCTCAAGTTTTGAGAAAAATATTGCTGTAAGAAATGTTAAAGATCACAAGCAAGTATTTCTGTTTATTTCAAAGGTGACTGCAGGACTATCGAGAAATTAACAGAAACATTAGCTTGAGCGTGAAATAAATTCCACTATCACAGTAACATACATACAAAATACATTAACATACATTTTATTGATTATTTTAAAATCAGTAAATATTTAGTTTTTTGTTATTATTTTGAATGTTGTAGCTTTCAGTTGTTCATTATGATTTTCTGAGTTACTGTTGAATTGGGCCTACAAGCATTTTTTTTTATTCAAGACGGCTTGGTAATCGCGGAAATGTATATCCAATCGGTAGTAGCGAGAATTTAACACATCTAAGATATATTAGTTGGGCATTATTGGTGGTGAATTCAAACAAATATTGTTAATCAGTGTTAAACAGTGAAAGCCAAAATAGTGGAGCTATGGATTTGCTACTCAGGTTTGAAATACAGAGCCGTGGTGCAAGGCCGTTCAAAAACTCCATTAGTTGTCTTACTGTTACCTACATTTTGCGTTTTTCTTCTCTTCCCTAGTACGTCAATTAGTCTCGGGGGCCGGAGAAAATTTACCTGGTACGTACCTGTCTTTCTACCATTAACACTAACTGAACACCATACCACTAATACCAACCCACTTTGGTTGTTCTGTTTCGCGCGCGGAATTATCTAATTTAATTCCAAAAACAGCACTAAATTCCATTCAATAGTCCAAAAGGAACTGCTTAAACGTCATTAACATCAAAGTGATTTTTTTCAGAAACAATATTAAACGTTCGTCTTAACCGTACTAAAACATCTAAACCCCTCTGCCCCAAAATTGACGAACATTCCAAATTATTTTTTGTTTCTGTTCTTATTGTATTATTTATTTTGAAGTTTCCAGCTTCAAATTTCGTTTGCATCATGCGCATGTCCTTTTTAGTTGCTGTTTTTTTCTTGGTGTATTTTCGTTTACGTTATATTTTATTTTGTATATAAGAGCAGAGCAATCACTACACAACATACTGAATGACACAAGCCACATGCTAGAAATGTTCTTGTCGGAAACGTTTGGTTTATTAAATTTTGCTTAGTTGATAATACTAAATATAAGACGTAGGTACTGCAAATGCGTCTTTTTAGTAAACCAAACTGACAACTCTTGTCTATCCATACCTACTTGAAAAAAATTCATTTCTTCCGACAATATGTCGCCAGCATTCAAGTATTCTAAAATTACTCAGATGGAAAATATAGATTAGATCTAGATTTAAGTTAATTGTGATTCTCCTTGTCATAGGCCTTTCAAAAGGCGTAGGATTCATTAGGTTCGATCAACGCATGGAAGCAGAGCGCGCAATTCAAGAACTAAATGGAACCATCCCCAAAGGATCGACTGAACCCATCACCGTCAAATTCGCCAACAATCCCAGCAATAACAACAAAGCTATTCCACCTTTGGCTGCTTATCTTACACCACAAGCCACTCGAAGATTTGCTGGACCAATCCACCATCCAACTGGCCGATTTAGGTACGTAGCACTGTTCGAATTGCTTTCAGGTTGTCCATTTTTATTTATTCGTTCGGTTCAACTTCTCTCCACATCATCACACAGCCATAGTTGTCCACTGCTGAACATAGACCTCCCGTAACTTTGTCCATGCTCTTCTATCTTGCGCCTCCTGCATCCAATTGTCTTTGAAGCGCCTCAGATCGTCTCGCCATGTAGTAGGAGGTTGTGGTGGTCTCCACTCCAGTAGTGTTTTAGTCCACCTTCCATCCCTCATACGGGCCACATGTCCAGACCAGTTCCACTTGAGGGAAGCTATGCTTTCAACAGCGTCTGTAACTTTGGTTTGCCTCCTAATATACTCGTTCGCAATCCTATCTCTTAACGATATTCCCATCATAGAACGTTCCATGGCTCTCTGAGCCACTCTTATTTTCCT